TGGATGGATGGATGGATGGATGGATGGATGGATGGATGGATAGATGTGTTTTTTGGGTGAATGGATGGATGTGTGGACAAATGGATGGATGGGTGATGGATGCACATATGAATCAGTATGAGGGATACATGAAATAATGTGTGCAGGGGGCTCAGTAGGCCTCCGTTGAATACTTGTTGGGATTATGCCGGTGTTAACGCTTTGTTCTTTCACTATTTAGGGAATGATCACGTTAATCTTGGCCACTGACATGGCAAGACATGCAGAAATTATGGATTCTTTCAAAGAGAAAATGGAGAATTTTGACTACAGCAATGAGGAGCACATGACCCTGGTGAGTGGCTTGTTCTGCCTGTGTGGGCAGCCAGGCGGTGGGCTGGTTGAGTGGGTCATCCATCCAGCTCACACTGGAAGCCAAGAAGCCAAAAGTATTAGTCTTGCCTTGAAACACGGTATCTATAAATCTGGTTTTCAAGGTCATGACTCTTACTAGGAAAGTCCCGGGCAGGGCCTCCCTCCTGACGGAGCCTCCTTCGTGGTCGGAGGCGGCACTCTCCCATTCCTCCATCTCTTTTGGATTTGAGGGAGATAAGTGGGTGAAGGCCATGCATCTCGCTCTGCTTTCCAGAGAATAAAACCAGCTCTCCCATGAAGGCACAGCCCCAGCCCATCTCTGTGGGGGCAACTCCAACACAGTCCCTGCTCCCCAAGCCGGCATCCCCCCCAGGCCCACACCATAGCCCGGCACCCCTCTATCACCAGGACAAGGTGGCCAGAGAAGGGGTAGGGGGCCTCCCCCATGAGAAGGCGCAGCATCTTCCTTTCGGAAAGGGCAGGCACTGGGCACCCCAAGGCACACAAGGACCAGAGCACGACTCATGCCTGGAATCCAGCACTTTGGGAGGCCGTGGCAGGAGGATTGCTTGAGTCCAGAAGTTTGAGACCAGTCTGAGCAACATTAGCAGACTCTATCTCCACAAAAAAAGAAAAACCAAAAAATCAGTGCATTCCTGTGGTCCCAACTGCTTGGGAGGTGGAGGTGGGAGGGTCGCAGGAGCCCAGGTCCAGGCTGCAGTGAGCCATGGTCGTTCCGCTGCACTCCAGCCTGGGCAACAGAGCAAGGGTCTGTCTCAAAAAACAGAGAGAGAGAGAGAGAGAGGTGCATGAGAACTGCTCTCCAGTCTTCAAAGAGAAAGCTGGTTTTGTGGAACCTTGTCTAAGCATCGGGTACACCCCTGGCATTCTTACTCTGAAATTTGATTGTTTAAAATCAATAGCATCGGCCGGGTGCGGTGGCTCCAGCCTGTAATCCCAGCACTTTGGGAGGCCGAGACGGGCGGATCACGAGGTCAGGAAATCGAAATCATCCTGGCTAACACGGTGAAACCCCGTCTCTACTAAAAAATACGAAAAACTAGCCGGGCGAGGTGGTGGGTGCCTGTAGTCCCAGCTACTCGGGAGGCTGAGGCAGGAGAATGGCGTAAACCCGGGAGGCGGAGCTTGCAGTGAGCCGAGATCCGGCCACCGCACTCCAGGCTGAGTGACAGAGCGAGACTCTGTGTCAAAAAAAAAAAAAAAATCAATAGCATCACTTTCCACCTCCAGAGAGGTTGAAAAATAGGGAACTCTTGGCTCAGGCTGAGCTTCTAACCACCCCTCCCCGTAGGTGGAGTCTTTAGGACTCAGCTCTCTGGAGCTGAGGTGCAGTTAATTCCCAAAGGCTGTTCGAGAGGACAGGAGCTCCCGCAGGCAAGGGCTGGACAGCAGGCAAACCTCCCCAGGCCAGGGCCTCCAGAAACCCCTTCCCCAAGAGGGAGACAGACGCATGGAACAGCTTCCTGGCAAGCAAGTTCCTCGCTCCCGAAAAACCAAGGGAAGGCAGGAGGCACCGCCTTGTCCTCATAGATATGAGGAAGGCAGGGATGGACCTGCAGGCAGGGGTGACCCACGCCCCACTGATGCCTTCTTCCTCCCTCTGAGGTGGGAGGAGAGGTCAGGGAAGAGACAGGGAGGGGCAGGATGCCGGAGGATCGGGTGCCAGGTGGTCAGGACCTCCGAGCCCAGCTGAAGGTCCCCACTCCCACCCCCAGCCTTACACACTGCAGCTGTGCAGACCAGCGGCAAAGCGAGGCTCAGAGCCCAGGCTTCCGTTTATCCCAACGACCGGCACCGGGCAGGGTCAGATGACAAGCAGCACAGCCAGGGATCCTCTCACTGCTGGGGAGCTCCAGACGGGGCTTCATGAACACTGGAGGACAGAGGTTGGGGGAAGGTCTCAGGAGGAAAGGTTCTGAGTCAAAGTGGGCCCCGATAAGGAGGCCTCCAAGGAGAGTGCAGGCTGACATGGGAGGTGTGAGGTGCAGGGAGTGTGGCCGGCAGGGCCTGGGACCTTGACCTTCCCCAGAGACAGTGCTGCCCTGGCCCTGTACCAGGTCTGGTGTGGGGACAGCTCCCCTTGACCTTCTCCAGAGATGGTGCCGCCCTGTCCCTGTCCTAGGTCTGGTGTGGGGACAGCTCCCCCAGGGCCTGCCAGGCACAGGCTAGTAATTGCCTCTGGTCTGGAGCCGGACTCCACAGAGGAGTCAAAGAAAGGCCTGGATGGCTTCCTGGGAACTGATAGGGTGGGGAAAGGAAGGGTGACCACAGCAGGGTCCCTTCAAGGTCCCGCCGAGGTTGGAAGGCAGGATCCACCAAGCATCGTGCAGACTGAACTGACCTGCTCCTCACCTAGTCACATTCCCCAAACCAGCAGGTGCAGCCCCACAGCCCGGGGCCATGTGCCTCAGCTGGGCTTTCCTGTCAAATCAGCTTCAGAGCCTGGACGGCAGCCAACACTTTGGCCTGGAAACCTGGTGATTCCAGACAGTCATTTGTGCCCGGTGCAGGCAGGGCTGCGGGACACCAGCCCTCCACGGTCTGTCCTATGGTGACATCCGGGCTAGTTCGGGTGGAAGCTGCTGCATCCCTGGGTCTACCCTATCTCCTCCTGAAGCTCCCATGGTGTGCCCAACCCTGGCCAAGCTCGGACGGAGCTACCTGTCCCCTGGGAAGATGAGCAGTGCACCCACCTGGGGAACAGCAGCAAATAGGGGGTGACCAGGCACGGGGCAGTGCTCCGGGGATATCACCTGGGCTGGGATGGCGAGAAGGGCTGGAAGGAGGGGACCCAAACAGGACCCTGAAGGTTCATTCTCCATTGAGAAGGGAGCCTGTCCTCCCTGAAGTCAGCCAAGCTCAGTTGCGTGGTCCAGCTGCACGGTCCTCCCTCTCTTCCTGCCTGTAATGGCACGTCCAGACCCGAGCAGCTCAGCAGGCCATGTTCTACCTCCTGTTACCTCAAGTCCAAAATCTCTTCTTTCAGCTGAAGATGATTTTGATAAAATGCTGTGATATCTCTAACGAGGTCCGTCCAATGGAAGTCGCAGAGCCCTGGGTGGACTGTTTATTAGAGGAATATTTTATGCAGGTAAGAGTCTTGCAGAGCAATCAAGCCTCCAGCCAGTCTTATTAACCCCACTTAGTAAGGGTTTGTGTGAAACAGCATGCCAGGGTGGACCCGCATGTTCACCGGGCCGCGGACAGTTCAGCCTCCAGAAAGCCTTCACAGGAGGCATCCATCAGAAACAAAATAGGTTATAATTTGAGACCTGAAAGAGAGTGACAATCCAGAAAAGCTAATGTCCTAAAACTGCTGCCTGTCACTGCTAATTGAACCATTATTAGAAGCAGCCTTGTCAAGCCAATTGCCTGAAAGTCAAGAAGCAAGAATTGCAGAGGCAGGAGGGGCCCCGAGAGGGCTGAGACCCAGCAGGTCAGCTCACGCAGATGGCCACGGGGAAGATCGGGGACGTAGAAAACCAAGCCAGCTGAAAACAACCACCAAATGTTAATACAGCAGCTTGATCAAGCCTAGGAGAACCCGGGAGGCTTTCTGCAGGACGCCTCTGCCATCTGTGTTACGTGCAGCTTACCTCTGTCTGTCTCTCATCTCGGTCTTCCCAGCTAGACCTGCATGCCCAGCTCTGTTTAGCACTGAGGATACTGTCGCCCTCGCCTTGTTCTTTACTGAGACACATTTGTGGTGTGGTTTGGTTGGTTGGTGGTTAACTGGCGCATCTTGTCTTTCTCTGAGAACAGCCATCTGGTTCCGGGGCATTTCTGTCTTTAATGTCGCTATCTGCTGCATTCCCTGCAGAGCGACCGTGAGAAGTCAGAAGGCCTTCCCGTGGCCCCCTTCATGGACCGAGACAAAGTGACCAAGGCCACAGCCCAGATTGGGTTTATCAAGTTTGTCCTGATCCCAATGTTTGAAACAGTGACTAAGGTGAGTAACTGTTACCAC